AGAAGGGCTATCCACCAGATTTATAACCCAGAGGAGTGTGTTGGGTGGGAGACATTCTTTCCCAGATGGTAGTGGAACTGTGGCTCCTAGATGTAAAAAAGCGCTCTCGTTTTTTCCTGCCAACCCTGTCCTCAGATCACAAGATGGGCACTAGCGCCATTCCGACGCCTGCGCCGAGCAGCTAGGGCCCTGAGCAGTGAGAAGCTGGAGACTCCTAGGAGTGACCCCCACCACAAAGGGCACCCTGCAGGGTGCCTGTAACTGGAAGGAGACAGCCTCGGCCTAGGGTTGCCAGATAAAATGACAGGATTCCCAGTTAAATCTGAACTTCAGATATATAACGAAGAATCTTTAGTGTAAGTATGCCCCATGTGATATTTGGCATCCTGTTTTTTATTTGCATGTGTTTTGCTAAATCTGGCAACCCACCTAAGCTTGAGATGCAGCAGGAAGGGGGCGGGTGGCCCACGGGGCAGGCGTGGAAAGGCATAGAAAGTCATGCTCCTCAGGCTCGCGGCTTCCAGGCCCTTCCCGAGTCTCCAGCCTGCCTCAGCGCGGTGCGGAGCAGGAGCACGCCTGGGGGCCAGCGCCCGACCCGCCGGACCCAGGTCTAACTGCGACTGGCTGCAAGGGGACAGCGGTCCAGTGCAACCACCACCACCACCGCTTGCGCCTTTCCCAGGGTTCTAGTACCCCTCCGCCCCTCCCCCCAATCCCCCGAGAGTGCCACCGAGGTTCCCCCTCCCGGCTGCTCCCGCAGGCACACCGCCCTGCAATGGCTTCGCTGGGCTGCACGCTGGGACCTTGGAGTCCAGTTTGCAATTCGCCTGCCGCCCGCCCTGCTGGAAAGGCCGGGAAGTGTGAATATCCTGGGCGTCCTACCCCCTGGAGCCAGCCCTTGGGTACAGTTTGGAAGAAACCAATAGTCAAGTATCACTTATTCCTTTACATTTGGGTGGTTTTTGTTTTTTACAGTGCAACTCTCAGTCCGGCCCCTCATCCCAAATCAAGCCTTCTTAAAACCAGACCTAGTTTTGAAATTCATAGGTACACTTCATGAATGACTGAAATCTTCCCAATTTTTCGTTTTATTCTAGCCTATAGTTGGACCAGTGATCTGGTAACACTCATTAAACTTGCATCTATCTGTCTCGCTCTCTAATTAAAGTTACAATTAAAAATAAGGAAGTGGACAGGACAAGACCCAATCAAGCTGGAGCTGAAAGGCCCAGAGTAAGCATAAAGATGCTAGGAGGTGCAGGGCCAGAGGTAAAATAAAATAAAGGCAGTTTCCCCAAACTCCTTCTCTCTTGTTCACTCCTTTTCAGGAGAAATAAACACTTTCCTGTTTGACTTGCTCTCCTGTGCCTAACCAAATATGTTCTTTTTTCTTTTTCCTTTAAGAACATTTTAAAGAACCTGTGCATTTATTTTGATGACAGAGATAGACCTACGGAAAATCTATAGCTACAGATCTTTCTTCTCGCAGCCAGAGGAGACCCAGGACACTCTCCTGGAGGAAATGGTGGGGGTGTGGGAATGTAACTTTAGATGCTCACCTTGGTCATGACCCTTAACTTTCCTCAGCTCCTAAGCCCATGTCCTGAAAGGCTGTCTTGGCTGGTTAAGGCTGCTGACTCAGAGACACTAAGAGCTGAAAGATGTTCACACGGGGAGGGGAGAGGTGTGAGGAGGATAAAGAGGGAATTTGGGAGAATAAGTGAATCAGTGGTATTTATGTAAAGAAGCTTAAATTAGAATTTGGGGCTCAATCAAAAATCTAATAATTCCAGGCCAGTCATAAATGATCATCAAGGAGCAAGGAAAACGTCCACCAAAAGAGAAAAAAGAATGTTTGAATCCATAGCTAGAAGTAATACTATGAGAATCTGAAAATTCTTCTTAAAACCATCGCCACATGGAAAGGAATGTTCAACATTCTACAATGTTAGATAAAATAACCCCCATTCCTTTAAAGAATCTGAAGCAGAATTTGGAAGAGAGGTTTCTTCCAGCTACAAAACTGAGTTTTGGTGTTCATGTGTCACTCCTTGACCAGGGCGTTTTTTTCCTCCAGTGGTGCCCGGAAAACAGATCTTTTTCTAGAGCATGTGCTTTTCTCAAGGATTTCTGGAAAGGGAAAAAGACTTTTGTGCACCTGCAATTGTTTCCAACAAAAAAAGTTTGTTTCCACAGCTATGGGCTAAAGAGGCTCTTTGCAAAAAAAAACCAACCAACCACATTTTAGACACAGAGATCACAAAGAAACAGATCTTCATAATTTTCCAGCAGATTTTTAGAGATTCCTAACGGTCTGTGAACTTAATCTACATGTGGATCTGTCATTTGACTGGAGCTTCACTTACTTCTCAGTATGTAGTGAGCTACTTGTCCAGAAGTATCTGATAAACTTCTAAATATGCATGGTACATTACATACAAATAGATCACAATAAGAACAACTGATAAAAAGTATAATAAATACAGCAACTGCCAGTCTCATCCAGGAAGTTTTCTCTCAAATCCCAAATGGTCTTTCTTTCAAAGTAATGCATAGAAATTATCCACTTGTAGGCTTGCCGTCCTAATAGAAAATAGCTATCTGTACTTTTGCTGCCTGCCCCCACCAATGGCTTGATGATTGGACCTTTTTTAATAAAAGAATGGAATTATGGGATCAAACGAATTGAAAGAAAAATAACAAAAGTTATAAAAATGAATGTGCCAGGTATGCAGCGTGACCAGCTAGAAAATAAGCCCTTGGTCCTTAATGGCTCAGTCTCCCAGAGCCATCACTCCGACCTCCCCCTACGGTGAATCCTATTCTCCTTTGCAATTATTTGTTTTCAATTGGGAGGGCTCAGGCTATCTATCCCTGAATACTTAGAATGAAGGAGAGAGCATCAAGTCTGGTTTGTCCAGGTGAAATCAGTCTCCCTCGTTCATTCTCCCAAACTCTGTATCTTTCTACTGCTGCAGCTGCTGCTCCACCTTTCTCCCTGCCCTCATGACCCCCTCACAGGATTGTTTTTGGTTTTGTGACTCTTTAGAAACCATGAATTTTGGCTATCCTAAAGAATGGTTTGAAGAGCACAGGATGTGAAAGGAATCCCCTGTTGGACTAGGACCCAAAACCCAAAGCTCTATTACAGGAGTGCTGCTGGGCAGGTGGCCACTGCAAAAGGCTACCACTGACCAATTCAAATCCCTGCTCTAGTGCTGGGGGAGATGGAGCTAGGGAAACGGGAAATGGAAACGTTAAGAAAAATTATTAGCAGGGATCAGCTTCTAGAACTGAGACAAAACTCTCTCTAACCTAAAGAAGAAAAGCAAAATTAGCCTTCTTTCCTTCCCCCCTCCTATTCCTCTGGCAAATCTACAAATATGAGGAGATCAGACTGACAGAAAAGAGACAACTGGAGTGGGAGACATTATTCAGAGAAATGCTTATATCCTATCTTGGATTAAATAGCCACAAAATCCATGTTCAGAAAATTCTCTTCTGTTCTTAAAATACCCAGTTCTGCTCTTCACATAAGATGTTCTAAGAGCTTCCGGCCTGGAAAGTATAACTGAGCAACAGGGCAGCAAAACTGTGCCTGCCGGGCTGCCTATCAACTCACCCCTAAACCAGGGAGCCTGCATTTCCCCAGCTCCACACAGCAGCTCGCTGCTCCTGAAAGCTTCTCTCCAGAAGCCAGAGGCTTTTGCAGACCTCCACAAGCTCCTTGGAGGTGTGTGTGTGAGTGGGGGTATAGACAGAAGCTCTACCACAGTCCTACAGGGCTCTGGGCCTTCCAGGGCCTTCCCTCAGAATGCCAGCATAGCCCTTAACCCCCTCCCTGAGAAGATGGGCTTATTTCCCTTGTACCTTTGCCACAGTACAAGGGAAACACCAAACACATGTCCACTGAATTCCAAGAGCCTAAAACTAAAGGAGCACTTGGGCTGGGCAGGACAACAAGCTAGAGATTCCTGGGGAGAAAAACAGACTCAACTGGGGTCTGCAGACTCAGGAGGCCTAGAGGAGGGACACAGATGAAAGCAGGGGTTGGGGGTGCGGGACTCTGCCAACCTTCAGGGCTCAGGGCAGACCACCCTCTATAAAGCAGGGCAAAGGAGACGAAGAGAGGCGAGGAGAGGCGAGAGGAGGTCAGAAGAGCCTTTGCTCCAAATCTGAGATTTAGCAGCTGGAGGCCCAAGCTTGCCTGGAACCAGGAAAGGACTAGCCAGAGGCGGCCTTCCACACTATAGGTCAACTTTTGTTTGTTTCTTTAAACCAGAGACAACCGAGGGTGGCCCCAGGAAAGGTGTTAAAGGACCTGAGCAGTTCTGAAAAAGGAGCTGACTCTTGGCTGCCTAGATTCTGGGTCCTCGCTATCAGTTTAGAAGCCTTTCTGGTCCTTATTACTATTGCTTCTAAATGAAGCTTCGTTCAACAAATTACAAGAGGCCAGAGGTCACAGGGCGCGCTACTACACAGGCTTCGGGTTCGCTCCAGTTCCTCCAGGGCTGAGAAGCACGCCCAGCTTGGAGTCAGCCAAGTCTTGGGCCTTGGCTGGGTCCCTGCACCTACCTATCCCAACCTCCAAAGGCAAGGCTCTTTAGAAGCCCTCAACCAGGAAAACCCTGCTGCACCGTGCTGTGTACGCTCGCGTGGATTTTAATATGATCTTGTTTTGACCTCTATTTACGCGCTGAAACGGCCACGTTCCCCTTCAAACTGGTGGTGACAGTTGGCAGGCCCGTCGCACAGTCCCGCCGTTTGCTTGCCCATGGCGCCTTTCCTGAGGGCACCTGGTTCTACCTGCCGGATCCAGACTGAAAACCGGCTTCTGCACGGAGAGTAAGAACCGGTTTGATAGGGTTCGGGGAGGAAGGCCCGGCCCGGCCCACTTCCCTAAACTTGCCTCGGGGCCTCCCAGGCAGAGTGGCAACAGGAACTCCGAACTGCTTTCGCTCTCGCGCCCGGCCCGGCTGCAGCCCCGCAGACGCTCTTACCTGGCTTGGCGAGCGGCGCCTGCAGCGTCCCGGGTTGGGGCTCGGCGGCCCAGCGCAGCGCGGCGGCCGCAGCCAACTCGGCGGCGGGGCGCGGCGGCGGCGGCTGAGACGGCTGCGAGGTCGGGGGCGGCTGCGGGGCCGCGGCTGCGTCCCCCGACTGCGGGGGTCCCGGCAGGGCGCGCAGAGAGTCGGGGATGAGACTCTCGAGGCTCTCGTTGGCTTGCTGCCGGCGCAGCGCCACCTGCGCCGCCATGACCCGCTGACGCTCGATGATGAGGATGCACTTCTCACAGGTGCAGTCCTTGAAGCGGCAGTAGCGCTTGTGGCCCTTGAGCCAAGACAGCACGCCGTGGTTGCGGCAGCGCGCGCACTTGGGCGTGCGCTGCAGGGGCGCCCGTGGCGGCTGCGACACCGGGCCGCCCATGTACAGATAGGGGGAGCCGTAGCCGTTCATGCCCCGGGCTCCCGGAAGAGCTGGCGGGTTAGCGGCGGGAGCGGGCCTCGGAGGCGCTGAACTGCGGGACTGGGAAGCCCGCTCAGAGGAGGCCTCCCGGCGGCGCGGTCCTTGGTCCCGCAGCCCCGGTGGCCGCGTGCGTTCCGGGAGGGCCGGAGGTGCAGCAGCGGTCTTTACGGCTTCCGCGGCGTTCGCAGCCTCCGCCTCCCGCTGGTACTCCGCCAGTCCCACGCGGGTCGCGTCTCTTGCAGCCGAGGCTTTAGCCCGCACTTCCTCCCTCGCCGAGGTGCTGCGGCGGCTACAAGGAGCCGGCGAGAACTCTGGTTAAGGTCTGAGCCAGCTTGTCTGCAGCTCCCGCGCGCGCTGCCCGGACCCAGCGCCTCCTCCACCGCCCTCCCCCCACCTCCTCCTCCCTCCCACTGTCACCCCCACCCCCGGGGTCCCGGACTCCTTGCTCTCCCCACTCCACCCCACGCCTTCCTCCTTCCTTGCGCCCCTCGAGTGAGTACACATCACCTTGCCACCTGCAGCCAGGCCGCTCTCGCGGGGGCGCTCACGGCCCCCTCCTCCAAGGTCTCTGCGCTTCCCCTGCCCCTGGCGGGAGGGACTGCAGCGCTCTGGGACGCAGCGATGCACTCCAGGCTGAGAAGGGGAGGGCCGAAGGGGTGAGGGTGGGGGTGCCTATAGGCGAGTGAGCTGGCTGCTCCCCTTCGATCCCTTCTCCTCCCACCAGGCCTGATTTTGGCTGCACCGAGCCCGAGGCCGCTTTTATCCCAGAACTTGGTCGCAGAAACTCGGCTCCGCGAGAACCGAAGCCTACCGCAGCGTTGCGGGTCGACTCGGGACCCAACATGAGCCCAGAGGGTTTTAAGTTGGGGTGAGCCAGGCCCTGAGGCCAATGGGGTTAGGGGAGTGGAATTGGTTCAGGAAATTTGGGCTCTTTCTTGGTTTCCTTTTGCAACATTAAAATAAGAAAATCGTACTCCTGCAGAAGAAAATGAATGTTTTTGAATGCTGGCCCAAGAATGACAACCCATTTTGCAGGCACAGTCCTCCCTCTCCCGCGCTGAGCTTCTCTCTTTACCCTTCTCCCCATGTTTTAATTTTTAAAAATATCATTCTTGAAAGGAGGGGGAAGCACTGGTGTGGAGGATTTGCTTAAGAGCTGGGTCTAAACTTTCAGAGTGGACGAAGAAGCCACGATAGCGCCCCAAAAGTTACTGGATATGATCTCCCCTCTGTCCAACAGCCACTGAACTATCAAACGAATGTCTCGCGTCACCTAAGTCAAATCTCCACGGACTCAGTAACTTAGTCATGGATGAGGGATGGAAACATTCTTCTCGCCCACCGCATTGTCTTTGGGTAGAGGTGGGAGGGGGCCTTGCATAAAATGACAGCATAAAACTGTTATTTGTGTGTTTCTAATTTCATAGAGTACGGGTTTGGCCTAATGCAGCCTACTGCCACAAACGCACAGTGACGACTAACCCCCACCCCACCTCGCAACCCAAGAAAACAAAAACAAAACACAGGTGGGTACAGCGGCGCAAGGCAGCACAACTGCTCAGTGCGAAAAGGAGAAGATGGCAGTCCCGGAACCGGGTCCGCATGCTCTTGAGAACACTGAGCTCATCTCTGGCCGATTCGAATGCGAAAGGAGAGCGTAGTCGAGTCCGCTGCAATGGTCAGCCTTTCGGCCGCATAGCGGACCTTGTCCCCTCAGGAAGGTCGCTTTTCTCTGCCCTTGAAGCAAACAAGCAACCTGAAAACGTCCTTTATGTGTATGCTGTGAATTCAAGTAAAGCACCTCCAGGCATTCTAGCAGCCAGCCCTCCTCCTAGAAGGGTGACACTGGGAGAAGAGGAATAAAAAGAGCATCCGGTTGTGTGCGTTTCCCTTGAAGCCGTTAGCTGCCCCCGCCCCCGGTTCAGAGCTGTCCGCGAGTTGGGGATAGCTGGATGCTGCCCTGGTTGGGCCTGAGCAGAAAACACTTGCACGAATGCTAACCCTGGGAGGCCTCCCCTCAAAGCCGTGGTGGCACGGACCCCTCGGTCTTTCCCCTTAGCTACACTCCTCCCGCCCCCAACATCACCACCTCAATCCCCTCTCCTCCCAATCTTCGCTAGGAAAGCAAGCCCTAAAACGCTACAACTGGAAGGAACTTCATAAACTCTCGGGACTGGAGGCAGAGGTCACTCGCAGCCCGGTGGGCCAGAGGTCGAGAAGTGGAGAGTTGGCAGCGAGTCGCTTCACGTGACAGAGACAGAGGGCCTAGAATGACACTGAATCTGGGAATGTTCGTGCTGGAACCTCCAGGTCTCTTGGGAAGGCGGGGATCACGGACTTTTTTTGAAGTCAAATTTCTCCTGATTTTCTCCAAATGGTCAGAGAAACCGGGAGTATAAAAACAAACAAACTTGGGAGTAAAGCATATATATATTTTTTTTAAAAGGAAAGAAGGGCTCTGCCCCACTTGGAGAGGGTGGCATTCCCACTAGCAAGGCGACCTCCTGTCCTCCCTCGGTCACCTAGCCACTCAAAACAGTCTGGCATTTTTTTGGTCCCGGGGCCCCGTTTCACTCCGGTGCACATCGGGGGTTGGGATCTAAATACTCATTTGATATAGCGCAATAATCCTTTTCTCATATTTGATGGGAATGTTTTCCATATCCCAGTATTTGACAACATCTCCCTATAGGGACAGGTTTGTATTTATGTTGGTAAAATGTCCCCTGCCTCAAATTCTATTGTAACCCAACACCTGACAATCCAGAGTCCCATTTCTGTTTGCAGAAAGGGTTTATTCAAGCACATAATGGGATCCCAGCAGAAAGCCTTTTAGAACAAGGGGCTATGGTAAACTTCACCACATGAACTCCGTTTCCAGGGCTATTAAGCCTTTAATTGGAAAATAGCAGAGGAAATTTCAAGGTGACTATAACGTGTTAGCAGTTAGTGCAGAGAAGAAAAGCTGAAGCGGGGATGAATGTAGAAAGCATATGGACCGAATCACATTTAGGAGGAGCGGCCTGCTTTTTACTAAGTCCTGGCAGCTTATACACTTATGGGAAAAATCATCAAAGACTGGGAGGAAGAAGGATTACAAGTAAATGTAACCTCACTAGACTGGATCCACTCGCGTTCTGCTCAGGGTGGGGTATGTGCGTGTGTGCTTTCAAACCACAATTGACTGGGTAGAACTGTGACAGGTATTAACAGTAAAAGGCTGAAAGATAATGTGCGTATGTGGCTCTTTCTCTTGACGGGCATCCCTTGGTGTGTGTATATCTAAAAGCTCGCGGAACGCAGGGTATCCTTGCGGAGAAACTGATCATGTTCTGACTCCAAATCTGAGGGTCCTGGTAGCTGCTTCTCACCTCAAGAAACAATCAAAAAGACAGTTTCATTGTACTGGATGTATAATACATCAGGCAATTTTCGGCTTTGCTTAAATCGCATGGTGGGGGAGGCCAGGGTTCCTATTTTGTTGCTTTAATCGAGATCATGGTGACGCTGGAAGCCGGGGGCGTGTAGAAAGTCCTTTAAATGCTGGAAAACCACCCCTGTCGCCCCGCGTATGAATTTCTCAGTTTTCACGCTGTCCGTGCCTCTAGGCATCGCTCTTTGGCTTCAAATTGAAAAGGGGGGAACAAATGTCTAGTGAGGCGGTGGGGCAACCAGCAATCGATTTCTTGAGGTGACAATAATGTTCTTGTTCTCCCTCAATTAATTGGGGAGAGACTCATGCGCTCCCCCCCCCAATTCTCCGCCATGCATCCCTGAAGCCGCCCTCTGGTGCGAGGGGCAGAGGCCACGTGAGGCAGGGGCGACTGAACCTGCGTTTGGCGGTCCCAGGGGACGCAGCTGAGCTGAAATAAGGTCCTGGGAGGTCATGTCCTCATACTATTTTTGCAGTGGGCAGCCGGAGGATATCCAGGGGCCTAGGCCTTCTGGAAAAAAACAGGGCGTAGAACGGCCTGCAACCCCGCGGGCCCTGTGCAGCCTCGGCAGGTGCTGCTGCTCAGTCCTTCGGATTCTCGAACTTTCGAAGTCGGCGGCTCACGCTAGAGAAAACGCTACCACTGGTGCAGATTCCTCAGACCCAGCCCGAACAAAGGTGCCCCCTCCTACCTTTTTGGGGTGGGATGGGGATGTCGCTCCTGCATTGGGCTCACTGATCGGCAACCTTAACCCCGCGCTTTCGAAGGAAGGGAATGAAAAAGCGCTCCTTCGGAGCGTTCCCTACTGGGCCGGGGTCCAGGTCGGCTTCCCCTGGAGACCTCCGCGAGCCACTCACTCCCCACTCTGGCCACCGGCCCCAGATGCGCCGGCGCCTCGGCCTGTCCGCCAACCTGCCGATTCCGCCCTCAAGCCTGGGAGTTGGAGGCTGCGGCCAAATGCAAAAGAACACGCTGCAGGGCCGAGTCGCACACACCCAGCAGGTCGCAGGAAGGCTGGGGTGGGCTGAGGGCGTGGGTCATTTCACTGCACCATTTGGGGAGAGGGTAGGAGTGGCAGCCTGCAGACCGGTTGCCCTCTGGGAAACGGAAAGAAAAATGCGTACACTCCAAGCTAAAATGAGAGCAGCACTGGCTTTAAAGTTTTTCTTCCTTAAATTAAGGTTTAGTGGGGTGACAATTGTTAGTCAAGTTACATAGGTTTCAAGTGTACAACAATATAATACATCATCTATATATCATGTTGTGTGTTCACCACCCAGTCAGTTCTTCCATCACCATGTTTGATCCCTTTTACCCTCAGCTACCACTTATTTGAAAACAGTTTTAAGATAATTCTCCTCTGACTTTAAAATTCAAAACAAAAGGCGAGGAAATCTTAGAGCAACATTCAAAGGACATGGCCGTCTCTTTTCCCCAGTGTTCTTTTCTCCGGGCGCTGGTGCAGTTCTTCCCTAGAACGAGCACCATTTCCACAACTCTCCGCGGTCTCCCCGTCCTCCACCCCAAGGGGCAGTCCCAGAACGAAGCACCGTGGCAGGGAAAGTGGGAGGATGTGCGGATTTCCAGGAAAGAAGTCCCTGCTCGGTTCAAGGGGCAGAGAATAAAGAGGAGAAACAGTGGGCACTGCCCTCACCCCAAGGAAAGTGGGTGCGAACCCCAGGCACCAAGGCCAGACTGGCCGGAGAGTAATGCAGCTAGGCCCAGGCGCTACGCGGTGACTCAAGGGGCGCCACAACTGGAGAAAACTAGGCTGAGACTCAACGTACAACGCCCACCACCAGGCCTCCTGGGCGGGGCGACTTCCGGGGCACTCGGTGCTCCGCCCACCCAGCCAGCGCCCCGCCCCCAAACCTACTCGCCCCACCCAGGACCCTTCCCAATGGTCTGGGCTGCAGCTTTGAACTGTTGAAAAGTTTGCTGATTGTTTTGTGAAGGGAGACTAAACCAACAAGTGGCGGAGTCCAGACCGTTCGCGTTTCTGTGAGGGGTGGGGCGGGGTGGGTGAGGCATCTTTTAAAAGTGAAGTCGTTGGCGGCGCGGGGCCCAGCGACAAGCAGGTCTCAGGCCTTGTCCGCGTTTGGGTACACGAAGGGAGGGGGAGGGCGAAGGCCTCGCGCAAGTTTCCGCGGCAATCTTCCCGGAGGGGCCGCGGCCGCAACCGGCCCGGTGGACAAGGCCAAGTTGGGGGAGCCAAGGAAAATCCCCCTTCCTCGACAGGCTGTCCTCTGGGTCTTTTTTGTGGCATCAATTGCGTTCCATAAAGCGCTTTGAATATCTCTGGATGCAAAGCATCAGATGCGGTGCAGTATACGTGCACGTGTGAAACCAGTTCACTGAAGTTCTCGGGAAGAGGACAGGGGGCGCAATTTCTATGCGTGGACGGGAGTCTTGTCTCCACGAGATGCTAGGGAGCTGGCGGGGCCGGCTGGGCGGTCTGGCTCACGCCCCTGCCCCGAATTGCGGTTTCCTACGTGGGTTTCGGACTGAGCCCCCGCTGCGGACACCGCGATGGTTGTTGCAGCGAGGAAGCGTTATCACCAAGGGCTTGGTCTGCAGCGCCAGTCCGATGACAACCAGGGGCACCCAGGTGGGCCACCAGCCTGGGGGCGGCGTCCGCTGTTAGTGAGGATGGGTCGCTCTCATCCCCAAGCACTGCGGGAGCCGCAGGCGGCGCAGGAGAAAGGCGCGCCCTTCATTTGCCCACAATTCCACGTCGCGTGGCGGCAGCTTGCTCAGCGCCCAGGACATAAAGGCCGGCGAGCCTGCCTCTGCTTCCCTGGGGCAGAGCAGCCGATACACCTGTGAAGGCTCAGTCCATGACGTCCCAGCCGCCCGCCAGACGAGCACACGACGCCCCGCACGCCCACACTTGCACACACGTGTTGTGCGCACTCGTCTACCGCTCGCACCGGGGACACCGCCTGGGGGAGGAAGCGGCCCTGCTGTTACAGGTCTCCGTGTAAGGGGGCAGATCTTTGAGAAACTGACCGCCCCTCAAATGTGTGTATGAAAATATGGTTAGACTCCATTAGCCGAGACTTACTGTCAACGCGCTATTTTGTGTTCAGAATTAGATAAGTTCGTAACGCCGTCCACCAGGGCCAGGTCTTGGGCCTTCCTGGCATCTTCAGCCCTGGCAGTCAAGAAGAAACGCCCGAAGAGCAAACTTGAGCGCCCCAGGGCCACGCCACTGCATCGGGTACGGATGCATGGCTCCAGGTCTCTCTTTTACGGTGTTATTCGGCGAGGCCGGAACTTCCCGCAACTCCTTGGTGGTCCTGGGGCCCGGGCCTCGCGCTGGGTGTGGCCTTTCTGGGGCGGGATCCCCGATAGGAGTCCCCGCGTGGCAGAGGCCTGGATTCAGAATCAAACTTAGCGTCAGGCGTGGCAGTTGGACTCTCGGGCCCTGGCGGCGGGAGAGGCCTCTCCGAAGGCGAGCGGGCGGGCGCCGGCGGCCGGAAGTTGAGCTTGGGAGCGGCAGGAGGCGGCCAGGAGGCACGAGGCCTGAGACACCGAAGCCCGGCGTTTGGGGCGCGCCAGGGTCCCACGGGGCACTCGGAGTCAAGGCTCCGAGTGAGCGCTGGCATGCTAACCAGGCTCCACCTGGCTTTCCTGAAATGCAAGGGCACTGAAGGGGGCTGTGCTGGAAGGGGGCACGCCCCCCACTGAGGTTCGTGCCGAGCCCCTCCCACAAAATCATCCTGGCAAAATTAGTGTGTTGGGGTCAACTACTGAACGGAGGGAACTGGAAGACTCCTGGATCCGCAGAAGCCAGGATTATTCAAAGAAATGTAAGGGGCCTGGGCAGCGGGCAGAGAGTGCCTAGGTAAGCGAGGGATCTCCATCTCCAAGAACGCCACCATTAATCCACGGAGGTGGCGATTCCACAGCCCGGTCCTTCCCTGCGCGACCCGCAGCCTCCCAGCGTCGCCGTCACAATAGCTACAGCTACAACCGCCGAGAAGGGCACTCGGCTGCAGTAGCAGCAGCCTGACAAGTGTGATAAAATGATCTTCCTTAACTAAACTCGTAAAGCACTGGGCAATAAAACTCAATCTTCTGTAAAATCCAATTAAGTCATTATCTGACTGATTGTATCTTTAATTGAAAACAGAAGTGACAGTAAATTTCTGTGATATATCAGGATCAATCGATACCACTATACGATTCAGCCCCAAGAAGTGATTTATAATGTCAAACCCATATAGGTAACTCCACATTATTCTCTCTAAAACCACTGGTGGATGAAATTAAGAGTAAGTGCATTTAATAAAAAACAAGATGGTCAGGTTATTGATTACAACAGATGGGGTGAAATCAAATAGATGTTTTCAAAGCACAGAGCGAAGAAAATACAAGTAATTTCTTTTTTCCTGTTTAATATCGCCCACCAAATATACACACAAGAAAATTCAGTCATCAATAACATTTTTATTTCAGGTACAGCTGCAACTACACAGAACAATGAATTTTTTTAGACTAGTTTCATTTCAGGATGTCTTCTGTTACATAAGGAAGCACTCCACAAGCAATTTTTTAACAAAATAATGAACTCAGAAATTTGTAGTAACTTTTAAAGATGTACTTATTTTCAAATCAGGTTACAACCTAAGGCTACAAAAATAGTCTAGATTGCATCAATTTTTTTCCTGCAGTATAAAGAATGTATATGATAAACTTTCATATTATTCTAGAAACAACACCCAGGAACTGTCTTATTGGGGTTAAGTTGTACTGTTTTCAAATTACCTCTTACAGAAAAGGTAGCAATTCCTAAAGGCACTATTTTTTTCTTCTGATTATTTCAGTCATGTTTGGAAAGGGTACATGTTTTGGATGTGGAGTGGGGCTAGGCTCTTCCTACAGCAACACAAACACACAGTATTTCCGTTTACTCTGACCTTCTGCAGATTTCTAAAACAATCACTAACTTTGCTCTTTTCTTCTCACCGGTCAGGTAACTAGACTAAATTTGTATTTTTAAAGTTTTATTAAAATACTAAAATTCAAAAACATCTAAAGCACCTCTAAGATTTCATTTTAAAACTAAAGTAACATCTCATTATGACACATTTAGATGCAAAAGTATTGCTTTACTTGAGTGAATTACTGTATTTCTTGAAAACTATATGTAAACCAGTGTCATAAAAAAATGAGGGTCATTACTATTTAATATTTAACTCCTTGAGCAAACCACTTAATTCTTACGGATCGTAGTCACGGATCCTAAACTATTCCAAATATGTTTTAGCTTATGGGCTAAGCTCTAAGAGTATAAACCAAACACATTCTTAACAGTTAAGTCGGCATAGGGCAAGGCAAAATATTAACAACAAACCCTGTGTATAAATGGAATAAGCCTGCTATTCCAAGTGAACCGCCAAAGGCACCGGGCACCGCTTACTCGTCCTCCTCGATGACGGGAGTGACCGTGAAGCTGCTGGGCTCCGAGGCGGGCTCGCATTCAAGCACTCCCTTTGTGCTCTCATTACTAATAGGAGAGCTGCTCGAGAGGGAAACCAAGCCAGAATCTTGACTGCTGGGCGGCGAGAATACTGGGAAGTGGGGAGAGACAGAGGGAGAATAGTGCGTTAAAAGTGTCTAATCTTTATACATTCAGTCTTCAATTAGGTCCCGACAAAGAAAGAGGCACTCTGCATTTCTATTCCGAGTTGAAAGTGTTTTGACAAACACTCATTAAAATCCCCAGCACTTCTTTAGAATAAAAAAAAAAGTATTTCTGCACAGTATTATCTATTTAACTGTAGGGGAAAGTTAGCTTATCAGAGTTCCAGTTTTATGTTCATCAAAAACAAAAAACAGCCTGCTCCCCTCTCTTTGGGGAAACTATTTCCACCTCTCCCCGAGCCCCCCTCCTTTATGTAAAGGATGCTAATAGACCTTGTCTTGTCAAATGATCCACCTGACAAATTACCCCAAGCAAGACTCCACTATTTGACAAGTAACCCTGGTTTCAATATCTAGCAAGTGAAAGGTGCTAGCTTTTCAACTTTCCTGTTATTTCTCTTAAATATAGGAGGACAAACATTTGGGGCAGGAGGAGTCACATACATATCATTTAAAAAGTAAAAAGCAGTGCATGGGAGGGAAACTTTTTTAAACCCCAAAAAGGAAAAGAACTTGAATCATACCACTCTAAAATAGAATTCAGGTAAAGATTTTAAAAGCAAACCTATGAACATAAAACGCCACAAGGAAACTGACATTAAATATGAAGGACGCAAAAGTAATAAAGTGCTGAACAATTTTTGCAACCTTACAAGTCACAGTAGATACAAAATTTAAGCAAAAGGGTCTCTGACCTTCTTAACCTTAGCTGAGTTCAGATCCACCCCCAGAACTCCCTTCCCGCCTAGTGTGAATGTAATTAAAGAGAAGCTGCAGTGGCAATTTCTCTCCTCATTAACTTCCTGATTGGTTTCAGCCTCAGGATTCTGCCGGGCAGTAGTTTGTCACCAATTCCAAATGGCCAATCGTTAATACTAATGTTTGTGTAACTAACTGCCAGCATCTGCCACGGCTTCTTGTACAACAATAATGGTGAAAGGGTACATTAGTGCTCCTGTGTTAATTCAGCTCGTGTTCATCAATAGGGAAATCTATGATGTAATTAGCAAAATGCATTGGGAGCTGAGTGTTGAAGTCATTTGTAGAGAGCTAAATCATAGGAGAAGCTGTACAGGGCCCTGATATGTTTGCCATCAATACTTATTATGTTTGGAATTTAATAAGGTATATTACCATGCTGAAAAGAGGCCTTTTTACAAGAGAACACCATTTACGCTTATTATGGGTTTGGAAAAGGTTTGCTGCAGCTAGTGAAACCACACAGAAATAAAAAAGAGAACTTTGATTTAAGAAGCAGACCTTTAACCACTCCACTGGACCAAATTATTTCAGAAAGCCTCTTTTTTCTTCTAATGTGACATATGGATGGACAGACAGATGGATAGTTTTGTATAGCTGCCTCAATATCCAGTAAGGAAAGGCATGATCTGAAAATGTAGTAAGTGAATAAATTTGAAAAACAATTTAGGCAATTTTCTGATAAGCAATTATTGTGATACTTATAGTATTTGTTTAGTAACTTAAAAAGCAAGGTAATAATTTGAAAGCTGTTTTTAAAGGAAAGAGCCATTAAATAGTATTTTATAGATGTTCAACAGGGTGGTATATGCATATATAAATATATAATGGCAACCAAGAAAAACCTAGGAACCTATGAAATCTAAAGCCTTCACTTTATTGTTCATAAAGTCTTCTTACTAAATTTGAATTGTTATATGGATTTAAAATTCCCTGCAAATATAAGATGAATTATGTATTGTGTTACATGCACAAGGATGTTGGGATATACACAGAAATGTTTTCCAAAGGTGATGGACTTTACTCTGACATCTTGTTACTACATAGAGATCTGGAGATCAGGCTAAGAGCCAACTGGAGTCTATGATTAATCTGCCCACCTCCATCCTGACCTCAAACCAGTGACAAAAGTTCCCGTCTAAAATCGTAGGGAAGGGAATGAACATACACTGACTTCCTGTATGCCACATACTTCAGTGAGGTATTTAATCCTCAAACCATTCACTGAGAGAATTATTCTCTCCATTTTACATAAGGGACCCCGTGGGAGCTGTCGAAGGCAGTGTGGCACTGGTCGGCCCAGTACTCTGGCTTGCTCTCATCCCTGCCCCAGCCCACCCTTGGGTGCCGCATTTCCCACTGGCCACTGAATCTTCCTCATCTGTGTGAGTTTAAGGAGGCAAAACAACGGACTCATGAGACTAACACAGAGGCTATAGAGGAATAGGTAGGTGTTCTCCTAACGTGTTCTGAGCCCTTCAGTTAACAGCTAACCTAGAAGATGACCTCACCCCAAGCTACACACCTCCCACTCCCCATTTAGCCAGCTTGGGACTGAAAAAGGGAGGGGTAGGAATTCTGCAAAGGAAAGGAATTTGGGGCTAGAGGACCCCTTTTGCTCTCATTTGCCTTGTGGGTATTTTCTTGGGAAGTATTCCTGTGACTTGGGGCTACAAAAACATGCAGTGTGTTACCTGCATAGACTAGGGAGGGTCCAAATATACTTAACGCATGACTGCACTACAGAGAAGATGCAAATAATGAACTCAATCTGTTCTGAAAAATCTCTGTATTTTTAAAAACATTGTTCCACTGAAAATTTAAATCCATGTTCTTTTTACTTCTGTTCAGGGCTTAGCATTGCCTTGAGTAATGGGCTGCTGGAATTAGGGATAGTATCTGTTTAACGCGTTTTGTGCAGCACCTCATAAAAGTAGTTTCAAGTGCATTAAAAATTTCATAAGTGTTTATCTTAGTGACTAATGTCCAAAATCTATTTTACTACCACCCTTAAATATACCCTTCTCCATTTTAATGCAGCTTCATTAAACTTCATTGGAGGGAAGAATAATTGATCATTATAAATCATTTTATACCAATTAAAAATTCAGAAGTCAAAATGATCATTTTTGCTTTTTAAGTTGATTCTAATGAGCCCTGCACAGGGAGAATTTGAACTCAAAAGTTTCTTAATTATTTTGTAAAAATGCTATTGCCTCGTGTCAGTGGGACTGTAAGGAAAGATATGCTGTTGGTAGCACTAGAAATTGGTTCAATCTTTCTGGACAGCAATCTAGTGACATGTAATAAGCACCATAAAACTGTTCATACCCTCTGACCCTGTAATTCCACTCTAGGGAATAAGCCCAAAGAAAGAAAGAATAATTGGCCCAGAGATGCTCAACGCACCACAATTTGCATCAATGAAGATGTTAGTGCTTTGCTTTGGTGCTGCGGGGTGCGGATGGGGGCAGCCACATTAGGGTTGGGGGCAGGAAGCGTTCACAGGCAATAAGCAATTTAGGATTATGCTACCCTGTAATCATCCATAGGCTCCCAGCATTTACAGAAATGGAAGAAATGACTTCTGGAGACCAAAGTAGAGACTGAAAAATAAGAAAAAGGAAAACTTGCCCATCTGATCTTTTTTCCTGTAACAATGAAAGGTGGGTAAACCTCCTAGGCTGACCCCTGTTTGAACCAGCAAGCCCAGTATCTGTTTTCTCTCACGTAGCCTATGTAGTCTATTTGTATACAGAAGCTAAAGGTTTTTCATTATTTAAAAACAACAACAACAACAAAAAAAAAACCTTACACATAATCACTCTTACCAAAGCTGGAAAAAAAACAAAAAACAAAAAAACTTAAGATGATTTCAGTGATGCAAAGTAAACCATCAGAATTCTTTTTGGAAAATATTATATACTGCCCCAAACCCCCTCCTCTCGGAAAAACAAAACAAAAACCACTCTAACTGCTAAATCTTTTGACATTGCAAAGACCCCTGACTTTTAACTTGAATGATCTGTTGGAAGTCAATGGACTGGAACAAATAATTCTCTCCCAGTGATGTGAAAAAACAGGATATTCATGCTTGAGAAAAAAATTTTCTTCCTCTGCATATTAAATACTATTAAACTCTAAGAAATCATTTAAAAATAAAAATGCAAGTGTCATTCTTCACTTGTTAGCAACTCTTCACCCAGATGCTGACAGTAAGAAAACAAAAGTGCTGGCCTCTTTGGTTTCCTAGCGTTTACAGGCATAAGAATCTGATGAAAATTTCTTAAGAAATCCTTCCACTTCCTGATAACCATAGTGTTTGGAAATAAAATCATGTCCAATCAATACTACTTAGCAGATATTTTATGTTTCACAATAGAACCCTTTTCCAGAGTGGAACTACTGCCCTTCTCACTAACATTTAAAATAATTAGGATTATCTTAGAGGACCGAAGATTGGCAGATTCAGTTTGTACTTTCAAACAGCATTAATTCTTGGCATTTAGAACAAGGGATAAAAGGTAAAGATATGAATGGAGATCCTTATTCAACCTGCTCTATCATGGATTAGCTCATTCTTTTCCAGTTCACGCCTGCACTCTAGTTAAGAGGAAGGCTAAGCTGTAACTGATGTAATTAGAAACCATAAGCTGAGAAAAAATAGCCCTTTCTTATCTTCCCCATTTACTATGTATTTACTAAAAAAATAATCTTTGAAACAATTAAATGTGTTCTTTCTACCTAAGTGTAATTAAAGAGTAGTGACAAAAGAGAGGGGCTGTTTAGAATTATGCTTTCATTGAAAACATATCTTAATTGTCAGTTCTAAAATCTAACAACAATTTTGAGGGGCCAGCTCTGCACTTGTAAATTGTAGAGAGAAGTGGCTGAGCCACATCTTGTAGATGGAATAAAGACCATTATCAGTGATTCTTCCTTGATACAACTATCGCAGCCTTTGTAAGCATTGGGAATTACCGTTTTTAAAAATGAAATGAACTTTTATAACAGAAAAGTACATATTTATGTGATAGACAGTACCCCTTTCACTCTAAATTTCTTGTATAACAGCTATATACAATTCACCTGATAACACTAGAACACCTTTAAAAAAAAAAACCTTTTGGTCCCCTTCACTCATTAAGAACAACTTCTCAAAACAAAC